GAAAAAACATAACATCACCAAAATACCCCCCAAAAAAGTCAGCTTTGAAAGGATTAAGCATTGTTGTTTTGTGGTGGTGGTGGTTTAAATCTGAGGGATATTTGCGTCAACAAAAGTCTTAAAAAGCCTCCCTCATAAATAGAAAAGAAGCCGCTGAGTCTGACCATACTTGGCTTTTTCCTTTTCCGACAAAGGAGCATGCTGGGGAGAGCCCAGAGAGATGGGGAAGGTCACAGGGCTGACAGGGAGACGGCTGCACCAGAATCAGGAAGATAACCCAAAGTTCAAGGGTTGATGCCACTCACCCCTCCACCAGAGGTAGTGACCCGGGCACAGGACACTTATCAAGCTCTTTGGGGAGAAAGCAGAGCCCAGGTATTGGACTCGGCTCTCCCTCTCCCTCCTCCCATCCTGACACCAATCCCTCAGGCTAGAGGAACTGCCCAGGTTCACAGAACAAATTGGAATGAGGTACGGATATAGAAAGGGAGCTGTAACGATTAATGTTGTGTGTCAGCCTGGCTAGGCATGGTTCCCAGCAGTGTGGCCAAACATTGGTCTGGTTGCCATCATGGAGCAGTTACACATGATTACATCAGTTGGCCTTGGGCAGAGCAGATGACCTTCCACAATGTAATGTAATGCAATGTAATTATCTCACAGCTAACGTTATGTAATGTAATGACTTTTCATAATGTAATCTAATGTAATGCCTTTCCATAATGCAATCTAATCTATCAGTTAGTTGAGGTCATATCAATTAGGTTTAGGGTGGATCCTAAATCTCATCATTTCTGAGTTATAAAAAGACCAGACCAGACAGACACACTCAGGGAAGACCTACACCTTGTGAGGATGGTCTACAAGCCAAGGAATGCTAAGAAACGCCTACCCGGGGCTATGGACAAGGAAGGGATGGACAGGGATGTGACCCTCATTTGGACTTCTAGCCTCCAGAACTGATAAAAGTAAATTTCTGTTCTTTAAAGCCACCACCTGGTGGTCTTTCTGTACCTGCAGCAATAGCCAGCTACAGGAATTGAGATTTTACTCCACTGTATCACGGTAGCAAGTGACTGAATCCATCCAAGTCCCAGCAAGGTGAACTGATACGGTGTGGGAAACAAAAAGAAAAGGTCAACATAGCCAACAAAGAGTGTCACTAAAATAAACTATGCTTCTTGGAACAGAAGGAAACCCATTATAATTGGTTTACACCCTACAACAACTTCATAAGAATATACATCCAATAAAAGAAACTCAGAGACAAGAAAGTTTTAAATTGGAGGTGAAGAGAAGATTGCAAACCTAAGGGAATAAGTTGAAGACCATAAAAACATAATTACAGGAGAAATAAATTAGAGGAAACCACAGAATAGGTTTGCTGAAAATGAAAATATTTAAATACAGGAAAGGCTTGATTTAAGCCCAGTGAATGCAGATGAAAAAAGACAAAGATTAAGTCAACTGGAAAGAGTCTGATAGGGAAGACAGATAAGACAATCAAGCATGAGGATAATTGGGGTCCGTGATGTAAAAAACTCCACAAATGAAACAGAAAATGTAAGTAAAAATAGGAGACAGGAAATTTTATTGAAATGAAGAAAAAAAAAAATAGACTTGTTGGCCAAAACAACACGCCACATCCCAGGAAAATTTCACATGGGGATGCTCAGCATCAAGATATCATCAACTACGTGAATTCAAAGAAAAAGAATGATTTGGGACTCTAAGAAGAACAAGTAAATAAAGGAGCAAGGGAAGTCAAACTGACCTTGGGCTTCTCCAGTGCAGCACCGAATGCCAGAAGATAATGGGTCCTGGGGGAAAGAAACATTTCCCAAGGGGGTATTTTACCCAGCCAAGATGTCCTACAAGTTGAAAGTCAACTGACTGACCATCCCATATATAAAAAACAAAGGAAATCCAGCACCCATGAGCCTTTTAGGAAAAATCTCCTGGATAACAAAATGAGTGAATTAGGAGATAAGTAAAAATAAAGAATTCAGGAACAGAGAACTTGCGGGTTTTTAAAAAAAAGGCCTTGGTGAGTATTTATACTACTTAAATGTAGAATTAATATAAAACATCTATGAAAACTGGGTAGACTAGAGTGTGATTGTTATAAATCTGGACATAAAAAACAATACAGCAAAAAAAAAAAAAAAAAAGAAGTTAGGGAGGAAGACAGAAGGAAATGTTAATGTTCCCATCTTTCAAAGCATGCAATCAATAAATATGGTTTAAAATTAAAATGTGCTATGTACACATAATATACTCCAACTTTTTTTTTTAAGGCTGAAAAGAGATGTAATAGTTATATTACATAAATAAAATGTGTGGACATTACTGTGATTCTAACTCAAAGAAATGAACTCTTAAAAAGACATTTTTGAGGCAATTGTTATTAGGTGCTGTCAAGTCAGTTCTGACGCATAGCGACCCTATGTACAACACAATGAAACACTGCCCAGTCCTGCGCCATCCTCACAATCGTTGTTATGCTTGAGCCCATTGTTGCAGCCACTGTGTCAATCCATCTCGTTGAGGGTCTTCCTCTTTTTCGATGACTCTCTACCAAGCACGATGTCCTTCTCCAGGGACTGATCCCTGGGCAATCAGGAAAATATAAACACAGGCTAGGTTTTAGATGATATTAAATATTTACAATCCTATAGTTGTGATAATGATATTGGTCATTATTGTGGTCATTAATTGCTGTGGAATTATATGATATCTGGCACTTGCTTAAAATAATCCAGTTGGAAGAAGGAGGCAGAAGAGTGGAGGATAGATGAGACAAGTTTGATGAAATGTTGATAATTAAAGATGGGTGATGGATACTTTTTAAGTTTGAAAATGTTCACAATGCAAAGTTAAAAAGAAAATGGAAAAGTTGTATTAATTCAGTCCTCCAGCAATTCGCTCGTTTAGTGATTAACTTATTAATCCATTAAACAAGTATTTATTAAATTCTTACGGTTTATTAAGATCCTGTATTAGGGGCTTGAAATACAATGATTGTCACGTTGCCCAGCATCAGGGAGCTTGTAGTTTAGTAAGGAAGATAGGTAATTTAATAACAATTCAGTATAAACACTATTGAGGGAAAATATGAGGCTATTGTGTATATTTTAGAGCCCTTGAGTGTGTGTCTTAATTATCTAGTGCTGTTAAAACAGAAATATCACAAGTGGATGGCTTAACAAACAGAAATGTATTCCCTCACAGCCTAGAAGGCTAGAAGTCTGAATTCAGAGTGTCAGCTCCCGGGGAATGCTTTCTTTCTCAGTCAGTTCTGGGGGAAGGTCCTTGTCATCAGTCTTTCCCTGGTCTAGGAGCTTCTGAACCCAGGGACCCTGGATCCAAAGGCTGCACTCCACTCCTGGCTCTTCTTTCTTTGTGGTAGTCAGGTCCTTCTCTCTTTGCTCACTTCTCTCTCCTTTTATCTCTTGTAAGATAAAAGGTGATGCAGGCCACACCCCAGGGAGACTCCCCTGACGTTGGATCAGGGCTATGACCTGAGTAAGGATGTTGCATCCCACCTTAATCCTCTTTAACATCACCTAATCCTGCCTAATTAACCACAGTCAAAGATTAGGATTCACAATGCATAGGAAAATCACACCAGATCACAATGTGGAGGACAACGACACAATTCTGGGAATCGTGGCCTAGCCAAGTTGATACACATTTTTGGGGGACACAATTCAATCCATAACAGGTTGGGAGGAGAAAAACATGTAGGATATAAGGGAAGGCAACATTGAATACCCGTTGCCATCGAGTCGATTCCGACTCATAGCGACCCTATAGGACAGAGTAGAACTGCCCCATTGAGTTTCCAAGGAGCACCTGGTGGATTTGAACTGTTAACCTTTTGGTTAGCAGACGTAGCTCTTAACCACTATGCCACCAGGGTTTCCCCACTTTGAATACTATGATATAAAACAATTCTTGGCTAATTTTATACGCAAAATGAATTTTAACTGTTTCAACGTGTTTTTTTAAATTAGCCTTATGGTTTTTTTTATACCTATGAACTATGTTTTCTGTTTCAAGAATTCTCTACCTTTTAACCATGTGTTTACGTGCTTTAGTGCTGTTCTTAACGATAAACATTTGGTTTTGTTAGCTCTTTGTCCATTAAAAATGCAGTTATTTCAGAGTTCCCTTTTTTCTATGTTTCTGAAGCAAAGTTACAAAATTATTACATATACAAATATATTGGCATTTTTCTTTATGACTTTTGTCCCCTGGCTTTGAACTTAGATCTTTCCTTAAAAGATTGGGAGTAAATGACCAGATGTTATGAAGCTTTAAGATTCATCCTTGTACGCTGTACAGCCCCTAGGAAAGGAAGTGGCAAATGCTCTCATGTCTTTCAAAGTGATTGCTTCACCCTGGAACCAGCTCCTGTCCCGCTGCAGTATGTTCTTGGTTGTTGACATTCTTCTATGTTCCTGCTCGTGCCCCTTCTCTGTCAGAAGCCCCTTTTATTTATGTCTGCAACGTAGCTTGAATGGTAGCTAAGTCTTGCACGATGCCTCTGAGTATTCTTTTTAATACTCCAACTTCTTAATGTCTTCATAATCTTTTTTTTTTTTAATCTTAGAGGAGTATTTTAGGAAGTCGTCATTTCTTAAGAAGAAAAATATTTAAATTTCAATAATTCTTCAGCTACTTTTCCCAAGTAAAATTAAATTTAGACAGAAAGACTAGCTAGCTAGCTATATGCATAGAAAGATCTGTGGGATTATGTTTACCTAATGTTAATGATGGAGCCCTGGTGGCGCAGTGTTAAGAGCTCGGCTGCTAACCAAAAGGTCGGCAGTTCGAATCCACCAGCTGCTCCTTGGAAACCCTATGGGGCAGTTCTACTCTGTCCTATAAGGTTGCTGTGAGTTGGAATCAGTTCGACGGCAACAGGTTTGGTTTGGTTTTTTATAGTTTACTTAAGGAGCCCTGGTGGCGCAGTGATTAAGTGCTCAGCTGCTAGCCAAAAGATCGGCAGTTGGAACCCACCAGGTGCTCCTTGGAAACCCTATCGGGCAGTTCTACTCTGACCTATAGGGTCACTATGAGTCAGAATCGACTTGATGGCAATGGGTTTTATATATCGTTTTAACTCTTTTAATGAGTGTGTAGAAGAATTTTTACAGAAACAACAAACATCTTTGGAAACAAACATGCCATGATGTTAGCAGTCATGGATGCTGAATCGTAGAACTAAGAATGACTGTCACTTTCTTTTAATTTCTGGGGGGAAAATGATTTAACTGTGTAATATTTCTGAATCCAGTTCGCTCATTGCTTGTTGATTGCCAGTGATATACCAGGGTCAGGCTGTGCCACACAGAGGGAACGCCCAAGGTATGCTGTCTGCCCGGGGGCTGTGAGACAGCAAAGCACCTTGCGGGATGTCTGTGTGTCTCTCTGTCTGTCTAGGAGGCACTGGAATTCAGAGAAGATCCACATCACCCGGGTAGTATCCATTTGAGCTGAGCCTTGAAAGTCGGTCGTGTTGCTTTGGGTGTAAATGGCTAGGAGAACTCCCTGGAAGAAGACCCCCAGAACAGAGGGAGCCAGGCAGGGGGTGACGTGTCAGCTGGAACTCGGCACATGCATGGGACAGTAACTCACGGTAAACCAGGAAAGAGCGGTGACAGCCTTTGGTGCAACCTAGGGAGCTTGGTGCCTTTGTCATGCCCCGGTGAGCTACAGACAGGGCCAACTCCGTGATCGGCAGGGCACGGAGCACAATGAAAATGGGCAGCAGGACACAGTAACACCCTGTTCTGGTATGACTTCATTAACACAACAAAAGAAAACCCCTATTTCCAGACAGGATCACATTTACAGGTTCAGTAGTCCACCCCCGTCCCCATCCACGGTTTCAGTTACCTGCTGTCAACAGCGGTCCAAAAGTGTTAAATTAGTAGAGTGATGAGATCTCGCACTGTCCCACTCCAAACCTCCCCGGGACCACATTCCCATAACGTTTATTACAGTATATTGTTAGAATTGTTCTATTTCATTATTAGCTTTGTTGTTAATCTCTCACCGTTCCTAATTTATAAATGAAACTTTATCACTGGTATGTATGTATAGGACGAAACATAGTATATCTAGGGTTCTGTACTATCTAAGGTTTCCGGCATCCACAGGGGTTCTTGGAATGTATCCCCCGCGGATAAGGGGGGACTACTGTATAAGGGTTAGGATTTCAACACATATTTGTGAGGAGACACAATTCAATCCATAAAAGATGCTAATATGGACAGATCTCCCAAATATATTTTTAACTGGGAAAGCAAGGGTAGAACAAGGAATAGTACATGTTATCTTTTGTGTAAAATGGGGGAAGGGAGAGGATAAGAGTATATATTTGATTTTGTTGACGCATAAAGACATTCTGAAGGATTCACAAAAAAAAAAAAAAAAGAATGTAGTTTTCTAAAGGGAGCGAGACTTTTCACTATATACTTTTTTGTATGTTTAAAATTTTTGAACCAAGTGAATGTATTAACTGTTCAAAAAGTTAAATTAAACATTTCTCCCTGACTAAGTGAGGGCTTGATGGGTCCCTGAAGTCAAGACAAGATTGCTGAGAGAATTTCCCTGTTTCCTGCTCGTCTTTGATTATCTTGACTTTGTCCTTCTGCATCTTTGCAATTTAGTTAGACACTTAGAATTTTAATCATCTACATTTTCTTGATTGGTTTCCTTTCAGATGAGACAGTAAATGAAGCAAGAACTTAAAAAATAATGAAGATGGTTTTAAGCCAGAATGCCTCAGCGATCAGACCTCTTAACTTGTATCCCTGGGGTAAGTGCTACCTTTTGTCATAGCCCCTGTAGGAGCGAGCTTGTCCTCAGTCCTCACAGCAGAGAGCTTGCTGGGGAGCAGCAGATGATGTTCCCAACTAAAGGACAGAGCATCGGCCCACCCAATGTCAGGAGTTAGATAGAAAGTAAATAGGAAGCCCCACTAACGGTTTGCATTCAGTATGAGTTTCTGCCCTGTTGTTAACTTCAGGAAAACAAATAAATAAATAAGAGTGACTTATGGCCCAGTCACGATGGGGAATAGCTCCAGGTGTAATTTGAAGAATAATTTATTTTAATACCTTCGTTCTAATCTAGAGTGGGATATATCTCCCTACTCCTGTATTTAGGAAGAGGACAAGCCCCGTATCTCCTACCACATCCACCAAACTGTAAAGTCAGTGCTGAATTTTGGTTTGGGAACTTCATTTATTGTCTCTTCTTTTCTTTCTTTCTTTCCTTTTTAATAGTCCTGTTCATCTATACCTTTTCTCGACCTTCTGACTGTATTTCAGTATCAATGCATTATCTGTTCCATGGTTTATCAGTAGGGGACCCATGGATATGTTGAGTGGGACAGTTCTCTATGATGTATAGTATCCTTGGTCTCTGCCTATTAAATGCCAGTAAGCCCCGCATGTTGTCATGACAGCCAAACAACAAATGCCCCCACGTATCTGCACCCATACCGAGGGGTTGAGATCTTGCGATCCCATCACCAGCACGCTCTGCTCTTTCCCCCGCTGCCTTTGGTGAATCGCTTCACCTGTTCGTTGCTGTTGTGAGTTGCCGTCAAGTCAGCTCCGACTCATGGCCACCTGGGTACAACGGAAGGAAATGTCGGCCAGTCCCGCACCATCTTCACAATCACTGGGATGCTCAAGTCCATTGTTGCAGCCGTTGCGCATGTTGGGTGCCTTCCCCAACCTAAGGGGTTCATCTTCCAGTACTACATCGAACAGTATTCTGTTGTGATGCATAGGGTTTTCATTGGCTAATTTTCAGAAGGAGATCACCAGGCCTTTCTTCCTAGTCTGTCTTAGTCTGGAAGCTCAGGTTTCCGCTGAAACCTATCCACCATGGGTGACCCTGCTGGTATTTGAAATACCAGTGGCATAGCTTCCAGCATCATAGCAACATGTAAGTCACCCTAGTACGACAGACAGACAGACCTGTGGTGGTCTTTACTTTTAATGTTTATTAATTATAAACATGTTTATTCACATTCTGAGAATTTTCCCAGATAGATAACTGCTTCTTGGAACAGTCTTTCAACTAGCCTAACTCCTATTATTAGTGCCAGTTCACAAATGGCTCCTAACTTGTATCTATTCAGGATACAATCCCTGGGCCATGTGCTGCTGATACCGGTGTTGACTGCCAAGAACCGTTTACATGAGCATTATTTTAGGGCAAGAAAGTCTCAGTCCAGTATTAATACATCTGTGCAAAAGAACCGCAGACTTAGAGCAGTCATTAAAGGTGGAATCCAGAGCAAACGTGGTTGCTTTTCTAACGTGTTTTTCCTCTTCCCAGTATACATCAGCCTTGTGTTTGGTGCTTCACTTGCTTTGCCTGGTAAGAGATTTCCTCGGTTCGACTAAACTCTGTAAAAGGGTCAGAGTGTTGGGGCGGCCATTCAGAAGTCTAAAAGATGGGAAGTTTGATTTCTAATCCCAGATCTGTTGGAATCCTTTTTCTCAAATACTTTCTCTGTAAAAGGAGCTTAAATTAGCCAGCTATGGTTTTCACATATGCCTCACATCGTTGTGAGGAGTTAATACTAGAAATCATTTTAAAACCCCTTGAAAGAATATTGAACTCAATATTCTCACTAATCGAAGAGTAAGGAGATGCAGACTATGCCAAACAAAAAATTATCCTGAAATCATTTCTCTTTATGTTCTTCCACTTACTTATACCAGATAAGGGAAAATGATTTTTTTATATTAAAACTTCTCTGAGAACTAAATATGTGTCTGGCTTTGTAAGCGTTGGAGGAATGACAGGTTGGCAACCAAGAAGCAAAAACCCAGGTCCTAACCACAGGAAGCGTAGATGCTCTGAGAACACTGAACCGTGTAAGGCGGCGTTTGACAATGGTTCTGTGAGAGTCTGACTTGCCTCTTGCGCTTTCCAGCTGCATAACAAGGCATCACTCAGTTTCACGGTCTGTAAAATGGGTCTGCTAATAGTACCTACCTTGGCGTTGTTGTGGGGATTAACTGCTTAGAAAGTGCAGGTCTGGGCACACATTATATTCCTCCTCCCTTCTGCAGTGGGGAATTCAGAGGAGGGAAAGTCTGCAGTGGCTGAGCTGCTGAAGGAGGACTTTATGGAGAAGTTGGGAGTTGAGTTGAGAAGATGGGACGGGACTGGGGTGGGAGGAGGGATTCCAAGAAGCCGAAAAAGACCCGAGTTATTTTGGGCCGGTGTTCCACTGAGAGATAATTGAATGCATCCTTCTGTCCAAATTCTGTTTACAAAGTGCCAATTTGCTGTTTCCTGGGCTTGCCTCCCTGACAGTATGTTTCTCGCTGATTAAATGTAATAGTTCATTTCCCACGTGCAGCTGGACTGCTTCCTTCCTCTGTTTCCCTGGGCTCCTTGGAGGGCAGCTCTGCCAGAGGGTGGGCTCCAGATCCCAAGGGTCGGCTTGACCGGGGGCCAGGATACAATCCTGACATCAAATATCAACGTTTCTTTTTTCCCCTCTTTTCTCCATATTTTCCAGATAAAGCTTGCACTTTTAAGGTGGCGCTGCAGAACTTCCAGACGATCTTCTCATGGGAATTAAAAAACCATTCCATTGTCCCAACTCACTATACGTTGTGGTACACAATCATGAGGTTGGTTTCACGTCTCATTTTTTCTCCTGCTAAACCTGTGGTCTCTTCCTTTGCGTGGCAAGTGGGGAAAGAGACGTTTACCTGTGCTGCAGCTAAACTTATTTGTTCTTTCTCTCTTCTTCTGATTTTGGTTTTTTGTTTTTTTTTTAATTTAGAGTCTTAGAAGGTCAAAGATAAAATGCCCATCCATTTTTTTTTTTTCTTAAATAAATCAAATACTTTTAACAATCCAAAGCTGTTTTTGGCAAAACTCGTATTTATAACTATTTTCTACAGAGCAAAAGCCTTACAAATAAAATATTTATCTTGGGGGGGTTTCACAATTCTCTCTCTGCTTCTGTTAGTGTAAATGTTGAAAGGTCATACATTTTCTGAGGACAGGGTCCAAAGGTCCAGGGACCATATTGATGGTTTACACTGGTCTTGGGGAGGCCCAGCGGTGCACCAGGAAACTGCCTGGATGTCTTGGACGGGCCTGGGTCCGAAGTCTGGCTTGGCCACCACCAGCTGGGACACTTGGACACAGAGCTCAGCGTCGCTGAGCCAGTCTCCCCTCCTTAGGGGTTGCCACAGGTTAATAACAGTGGATGGAGCTTTCTCTGGCTCTCTTTCCACATCTAACAATCACTCCCACAAGCTGTTGCTTTGATCCAGCAGCCTTTTGCTGGTTGTTTGTTTAGCTTATAGCAGCTGTGGTGATGAAGGCTGACCCAGAGGAAAGCCTCTTGGAAGTTTCTCTTTGATGTCTGCTAAAGTCTTAACATTTTTCTCTGCATTGTTCTGTCACATGGATCACCCATCTGCCGTTCTGAGACTCAGAAGGCCAGTTGTCTGTGTTGTTCCCAAAATAGGACTGGCTGGTGTGATCCTCCACCAGGGAGGGAGCAGGGGCATCTTAGAGAAGGCATCTGTGATTGTCCACAGGGGCTGGGAAATCTCGGGCCTGAGCCATTAAAGCACAAGGTTTGTTCATTCATTCATTCACCCAGCAAACATTTACGGACTCCTGCTGTATACCAGGGGTCCAGCCCTGAACAAAAGTCCCTGCCTTGGGGGGAAAAGGTAAGAGGGTTGGGAATGCGTGTGTGTGCTGTTTTCCATAAGGTGGTCAGGGAGATGATTCGATACAGTAACATCTGAGCAGTCTTAAGACGAGGAAGTGATTCAGGCATATAACTGGTTCTCATTTCGTGATTGCTAAAGATTGCCTTTTTCCTGTCTTTTCCTTTCAAAGTAAATACGAAGACATGAAGATCGTAGAGGACTGTACAAATATCACGAGACTATTTTGTGACCTAACGGGTTTGTGGGACAACATGCCTGAGACCTACATCCCAAGAGTCGTGGGGTTCAAAGGCAACACAGTGCTGGTCAGCTGTATAGACAGTGTCTTCCTGCCCATGAACAGTGAGTTGAAGTTCTGCTTCTTGTCTTTATCCTCCTCCTCAAGGTCAGCATTATCTGCTCTGCCATGAGCTAGGAAGGCCTGTAGAGGTGTTTCAGACTCAGAGCAGGTTCCCCTCCCGGCCCTGCCACCTCCTAGCTCTGCAGCTGTGGGCTAGTTACTTTGCTTCTCTGGGCCTCAGTGTTCCTGTCTGAAAGTGGAATGAGACTGTGCTCTGCAGACTGTTACCAACCTGCTGTGTGAGGCCGGCGCTCGCTAAGCAGCAGCTGCCGTTTTTCTGTTTGTCTCACAAGCCGACAGGAAGTGGAGAGCGGGGTCAGGTGGCCTCTCTGCAACCCGTCACGACTCTTTGGGCATTGATTTCCTTCATACTGCAACCCCATCCCCAAATCACAGCCCAGTAGTTCTTTCTTCATCATCATTATTGCGGTAAAATATATGTAACAAAACATTTGCCAGTGTACCAATTTTTACACATATGATTCAGTGACCTTGGTTATGTTCGTAAGGTGGGCAGCCATCACCACTATCCTTTTCCGGATTATTCCGCCACCATTAGCAGAAACTCAGCGCCCCCTACGCAGTGACCCCTCCGTCCCTTCTCCCTCCCACCGTGAATAAACTCTGTTCCCTCTATGTTTGCCTATTTCATGTAAGTGGGATCATAGAATATTTGTCTTTTTACGGCTGGCTTATCTCACTGAGCGTCACGTTTTCAAGGTTCATCCATGGTGTCGCGGGCACCAGGACTTCATTTCTCTTTACGCTCAGTGATGGTCCGTCGTGTGGATGGACCACGTGTCATCTGCTCATCTGCTGATGGACGTTGGGTTGTTCCCGCCTTTTGGATATTGTGGAAAGTGCTGCAGTGAACACTGGTGTGTACCAGAAGCTCTTGTAAGCCTGAACGCCCAAGTGTGCGCCACTCGGGGCCCCGACCTCAGAAGAGAAAGACAAATCTGAGCGTCTGTGTGCCCCCTCTTTCCCTCCCCATGACTGGAGGCGGCTCCCTAAGATCCTCAGGTTAACGGCTCCCAGGCAATGGGCGGCAGCCCCCAGCCAGGCCCCAGTGCTTTCTCGGTGTCCTGATTTAGAAGCTGCTTCCAAGGCAAGATTTCAGCTCCCTGTTATAGTGTGAGCGCGCACCCATATACATATGCTTCGCAAAACAACAATGACGACTGAATTCCACTGTGGCAAATAATTTGGATGCTTTTGAGATGTTCTGGAATCGTGTGCACGTGTGTGTATGTCTATATACAAAGGAAAGAAAAGCACACTTTATAGATCGAGGTATTCAGACCACTAAGGGAAAATATATTAAAGTAATAATGAGAGATCGCTTTTCATAAATCAAAATGAAACATATTAAAATGCAGCAGTAATCAGGTTGAGAGGGAAGGCGGGGGGTGTGACTGTGCTGTCTTTCTAAAGGTAGTTGGCCAAACACCAAAAAAAACCCGTTGCCATCGAGTCAATTCCGACTCATAGTGACCCTACAGGACAGAGTAGAACTGCCCCCATAGAGTTTCCAAGGAGCGGCTGGTGGATTCGAACTGCCGACCTTTTGGTTAGCAGCAGAGCTCCTAACCACTGCGCCCCCAGGTGACTGTCAGTGTGATTCAAAACCTTACCGCGTGCCTACTCTCATTCCTCTTTAGTAATTTGTTCTAGAGAAGTAATTGAGGACGCATGCAAAGATTGAGTTCAAAGAATATTCACTGACACACTAAAGGTATTCAGAAAAATTAAGGACAATCTAAATGTTCAAAACAACAAATTGGTTTAATTACGGTACAGCCACTCAGTGATGAAAAGCGGTGTTGTAGACAAGGGGTCAGCAAACTTTCTGTAAAGGGCAGATAAGAAATCCTTTAGACTTGGTGGCCCACGTATAGTCTCCATCACATATTCTTCTCTATATTTAAAAAAAAAAAGAATTCTTAGCTCCCAAGTCATGCAAAAATCCAACCCAGGGGCTGTAGTATGCCAGCCCTTGATATAGATCAATAATTATCGATCTGTTTATGAAATACTATCAAGTGAAGTGTGCAAAATAGTGTAAGAATGATTTTATACGTATACATATATAGATATAAAATATATCTTTACGAGGGTACTGGTGGTTCGGTGGTAGAACTCTTGTTTTCCACGCAGGAACCTGGACTTGAGTCTCTCCAAGTCACCTCATGCACAGTCAGCACCGTATGTCAGTGGGGTTTGCGTTTTGCTGTGATGCTGAGCAGATGTCAGCGGAGCTTCCAGACTAAGCAGGCCTGTTGAGCTACTTCCAAAAATCCACCAGTGAAAATCTCATGGATCACAACAGTCCGATTTGCAGCTGATCAAGGAGACGGCACAGGACCAGACATGTGTCGTTGCACTCTGCGTCGGGTCGCCACCAGTTGGGGGCCAACTTGATGGCAACTAGCAACAACAATGTATTCACAGCCACATGACAAAAATTGATCAAGCACATTCAGGAATCATCACCCATCTAGATTTTCCGATATTTCTACAATGATTACAAATTATTATTGTAATTTGGGGAGGGGGTGATTTTTCTTCATTTTTGTGCTTAGAATACAGCTTGAAAATTGGGAAAGTTGACTGACTTCCATCCCAGAATGTGTCCTCGATGTCTTGGGGTAATAAATAAATCATTTGTATTGTTTCTAAACTTTAAAAAACCGTATGTGACAGCTAGGGCCGCAGATGAAAGCAAAATCGTGGTAGAGAAGTGAGCCTGCATCGTGACAGTAAGAGACATCCTGGTCAGAGTGTCGTTGACTGATGCTGGGGTATCTGGCTTTGTTTCCTGAACAGTGACCTTGGAACCACCGGACTTTGAGATTGTGGGCTCTGCGGACCACATTAATGTGATAGTGAAATTTCCATCCCGCGCTCCCAAGACGATAGATGTAGAAAGGTTACAGCATCATTTTTACCTCATCATTGAACAGCGATCAGAGGAGATGGTGAAGAAGGTAAGTCGTCTGCAGCGTAGGATCAAGGCAATTCTGAGTTCGCAATGAATGTACTTGACTCTCTTCTTATTTTTTGAGAACTGAAATTTATTGTCTCACAGTTTTTGAGCTAGTAGTCTAAACTCAGGGTGTTGGCAAGCCCATGTTGTCTTGAAAGGCTCTGGGGGAAGATCCCCCTTCTCTCTCAGCTTCGGGTAGACTCAGGAGTTTCCGGGCTTGTAGGTGAACTGTCACGTGGCTGTCTTTGTCTCTCTGTGCCTCGTCTCCTTTTTTTGTAGGGCACTACTGTGATTGGGTTAGGGTCCACCCTATTCCGGTATGGCCTCACATTAACTGGTAACATCTTCAAAGACCCTATTTCCAAACAAGGTCACATTCACAGGGACAGGGATTAGGACTTCAGCATGTCTTTTTGGAGGACACAATTCAGCCCATAATAGACAGGAAGAACAGCAGCCTTGGGCATGTGATTTTCCTGTCTCCCTGTGTGGACAAGGGTGCATCCTTTCCAGGCGCCACACCCCATGCTCCCACAGGACCCTGTAAGCAGCGCCCACTTGTGCTCCATGACAGCTGTGTCCTAGTCCCTAGCACAGTGCCAGGCCCCTAGACACTAAAGAATCAGTGTTTGCTGATGAAGAATAAACCCAGAGATGAAACTTCATGGATGTGGATATGAACTGAATCTCAGATCACTGTTGTCGTTGTTGTCGTGTGCCATCCAATCGATTCCAACTCATAGAACCCCACAGGACGGAACAGAGCAGCCCCACAAGGTTTCCGAGGCTGCAGTCTTTTACGGAAGCTACTCACCAGATCTTTTCTCCCAAGGAGCGGCTGGTGGGTTTGAACCGCTGATGTTTCAGCTAGCAGCCGAGTGCTTAACAATTGTGCCACCAGGGCTCCTTTCTTACCATTAGAACTGCCCCGTGATGGAATGGGTTGTCTGGAAAAGTACCAGGCAGGTCAGCAGTTTATTAGTATAAGTTCTGGGTAGATGGGGGCAGCACTCAGTCATTTGGTGGTGAGAGGCAATATCACAACGATGCTGGGTCTGTGGGCTTTGGAGCCAGACAGTAAGTATGGGTCCTGACTTCAGCACTTATGGCAGTGAAACTAGGCAATTTGCCTCTGTTGACATCGGTAAAATAGGGGTAATAATCCAGTCTTGGTTTGAGTTCTCCTGGTTGAACACTTGGCTACTAGCCAAAAGGTTGGTGGCTCAAATCTACCCAGAGGTACCTTGGAAGAAAGCCCTGGTGATCTATCTCCAAAAGATCACAGCCATTCAAAACCCTATCGAGCACAGTTCTACTCTGAAACACATGGGGTCATCATGAATTGGAATCAACTTGATGACTGTTGGGTTTTTTTTGTTTTTTTTTTTTTATTGTGCTTTAGGTCAAAGTTTACAGCTCAAGTTAATTTCTCATACAAAAATTTATACACATATTGTTTTGCAATCCCCACGATGTGACAGCACATTCGCCCTTTCCCCTCTGGGTGCCCTATGTCCATTCGACCCGTTCCTGTCCCTTCCTGCCTTCTCATCCTGCTTTTGGACAGGAGCTGCCCGTTTGGCCTGACTGAACTAAGAAGCGCATTCCTCACCTGTGTTATTTTTTGTTTTATAGTCCTGTCCAATCTTTGTCTGAAGAGTGGGCTTTGGGAACGGTTTCGGTTCTGGGTTAACAGTGCGTCCAGGGCCGTAGTTTCGGGGGTTCCTCCAGTCTCTGTCAGACCATTAATCGACTCTCTTTTTAAAACAGAAATCTGTAGTTGCACAACTAAATCTCGAAGACCGGGACGTCAGTGTGGTCTGGCTTGAGGAACGAGGTCGCTGTAGTTCGTTCATTGTGGGAATGGATTGACTTAGCCCAGCAGTGTGGTCTTTAACAGAGTAAACCACACACGATGTCCAGGGGCACGCACCTGTGTGCTGTGGGCGTGGCGAGCAGCCGGATTCCAGCACGCGGGGGTGAGGGCTTCTTTGAAAGGGGTGGTTGGCTGAGCTGCACGTGAAAAGCACCTGCCCCTGGGTCTCCAGCCTCACTCATGGCTCTGTTTCCTCCTGGTTTCCACCGAGAGGCCCCTGGGTGGTGGAAATGGTTAGTGATAGGCTGCTAAGCCAAAGGTTGGCAGTTCGAACCTGCCTGGAGGCACCACAGAAAAAAGGTCTGGCAATCTGCTTCTGGAAAGACTACAACCAAGAAACCCTATGGAGCAGTTCTACTCTGTAACACATGGGGTTGCCATGAGTCAGAATCAACTTGGCGGCAACGGGTTTGATTTGGTTTGGTTTCCACGAAGACCTAATGTCAGTCACTTCAGGGTGGTCCTCATGTCAGACAGAACTTGGTCTTCGATCATTTGTTCTCTCGGTTTCTGAAAATGCTGGAATGAGTGAAAATGGGCAAACTGTTCATGTGCACCGGTGGGCCCAGCTGGAACAGCAGCTTATGTTTGCATAGCCCTTTGCCAGTCATAACATGCATGCAGGTATACCAGGCTGTCCACAGGCTTCCAGGGCAGGGGCATTTCAGGCAGAAGATACAGCAAGTCCAAAGGCCCTGAGGCTGGAGGGGGCCTGCTGGGAGTGAGCAAGGGAGCATAGGTCAGAGAGGACGTGGGGGCTGGTCCCTGAAGGGCTTTGAGGGTCAGAGTACTCGAAGTCTGATGGAAGCCACTGAAGGCCTTTAAGCTACAGTCTGGCCTGAGGCTCTAACAGGGCATCCTGGCTGGTGTGTTAAGAATAGACCGCGGGGGTTAAAGGTGGAAGTTGGGAGACTAGTTAAGAGACTGTTGCTATAATCCAGGTGAAAGGTGGTGAGGGCTTGGACCGCTTGGGGGTAGTGAGAATAGTGAGAATTGATCCGATTCTGCATATATTTTGCAAGTAGAGCTGACGGTATTTCCAGCTGGATTGGATGGGCTGTGTGGGAGAGAAAGAGGAGGTATGGCTCCAAAACCTTCAGCACCAGTAACTGGATAGACAGAGTAGCCATTGACTAAAACGGGAAGAGTGTGGATGGAGCAGGTGGGGAGGTGGGTGTTGGTGGTTCTGTGACAGGCATCACGTTAAGTCTGAGATGCCTGTAAGGCATTCAGGAGGAGATGTTGAACAGGAGTTGGGTGAGGGGTCTGGAGTTCAGGGGAGAGCTCCTGGAGGGAGAGATGTCCCTGGGGAGTCTTTTGAGGAGTGTTAGCTTCTTGGTGTGCATTGAACACCACCAGACCCGGGGGGATCACCAGGGAGTGAAGGTGCAGAGAGAAGAACCCCGGGGCACCCTAAAATTTGGGGATCCAGCAAATGAGGAAGAAACAGCAAAAGAGGCTGCGAAGGAGCAGCGAGCACTGTAGAAGAGAACCGGGTGCGGGTGGTAGCCGGAAGCCAAGAGAAGAAAATTCCAGGAGAGTGATCCATAGGGTCAAACACTGACAGGGGGTGAGTTAGAAGAGCACGACCTGTTGATTACTGGATTTAGTGACATGGATGTCGTGACCTTGAGAGAAGTTTTGGTGATTAGAGTGGATCGAGAGTGAGAGGAACAGCCGTGAGGAACATGCTCCTCAGATCAATCAAGTCCACGAGACCAAGTGGGCAACACCTGCCCAAAAGCAAAGATGAGAAGGCAGGAAGGGACAGGAAAATCGGACAAATGGACACGGGGAACCTGGGGTGGGAAGGGGGAGAGTGCTGACACATCCCAGGGATTTCAATCAATGTCATGAAACAATCTGTGTATAAATTATTGAATCGGAAACTAATTTGCTCTGTAAACTTTCACCTAAAGCCCAATAAAATATTCAAAAACAAAAGTGACAGGAAGGAAGAAAACTGGGGAGCGTGAGGAGAGCGAATTCTTCAGGGAGTTTTCTGTAAAGGGGAGGAGAGACGTGCATTGGGAAGTGGGTCAAGGGAGGGATTTTGGAAGATGGGAGAAACTGGGCATGTTCCTATGCTGATGGAATGCGGGGGCGGGGGTGTTGGTGGAGCAAAATCCAAGAGTAGGAAAGGGTGGATGGGATCTCGTGAGAACCTGGAGGGGTTGGGTTGGCCTTGGCTCAGAGCAGGGCTGGGGCCTCCGGGGTCCCCAGAGAGGAGGAGGAGGAGCTGGCAGCAGATGTTCACTGGAGGGTAGTTCTTGGTGGGGGCTCCCGTTTCGGCAGTGAGACAGGAAGTAAGCATTACAGGCCTGCTCCAGAAACCCAGGTGCTCTGACGCCATGTTATGCTGCTCCACTGGGAGGCACCGAGGCTCCTCCTGCCCCTCTTTCTTCTGGGTTAGTCGTTAGCATGCAAGAGCTTTTAGTGTGCTGGGTTTTTGAATAATTCCTCCTCCTTCCAAGTAGAAACCTGCAGAAAAACATCGCTGTGGAAGGCTGTATTTGACCTGCTAGAAAGCCTAAAACTGCTAGGAAGAATGTATTTTCGAACCTATGAAGCATTAGACAAAAGTTGTTAGTCATGAAAGAACCTGTCTGTCATCCCCTTAATCCCAACACGGGGTAGAGCCACATGGGAAAGAAGAAGCCAGGTGTTTCAAGCAGAAAACAGGAAACCTAGACATCAGCCTCTGTTCTGCCACAGGCAAGCTGTGTGACCTCAGGGAAGTTACTTAACCTCTCTGAGCTGCAGTTTCCTCATCTGTAGAATGGGGATGGTACTGAGCTTGCAAACTGTTTTGATAATCAAATGAGTTAATGTGTATGAAAGCTCTTTCTGAGGTATAAAGTGGACATACATTGTTAATGAGAGAATCTTCAAAAATGTCATGGAGACCTTTCTCCTCGTTGGGAATTTTTCTTCTCGGTGAGTGAAGGTACCAGGCTAGATGAGTCCATGGTTTAGAAATACATATGTGTGAATGTGTGTGTATATGTGTACATGCAGTTTTGTGATAAGTTGCTTGCCCCAACTGACTTATAAATACTCTTTGTTGCCAAGCCTACAATATTTCTGTCCCTGTTTAAAATTTAAAATTTGAAGGCAAATCCCCTAAGAGATGTCAGGGCCTGTATCTTGCTGTAACAGAAATACCACAAGTAAAACAACAACAAAAAAAACGTTGCCGTTGAGTCAATTCCAACTCATAGCCACCCTACAGGACAGAGTAGAACTGCCCCATAAGGTTTCGTAGGAGCGCCTGGTGGATTTGAACTGCTGACCTTTTGATTAGCAGCCAAGTTCTTAACCACTGTGCCACCAGGGTTTCCAACCACAAGTGAGTGGCCTTAACAAACAGAAATGTATTTTCTCACAGTTTAGGAGTCTGAATTCAAGGCACCAGCTGTAGAGGAGGGCTCTCTCTCTCTGGGCTCTGGGGGAAGATCTTTGCCTCTTTCAGCTTCTGTTCCTTGGTGATCTCCACGTGGCATCTGTCTTTCCCCCATTTGTGCTTGCTTGTCTGTGTGTCTGTGCCGCTCCTTACATCACTCAGGAGAGATCAGGTTTGAGACATGCCCTACACTGACATGGGTCATTAACATAACAAGAAACCCCAATTCCCAAAAGGGATTACATCCAACACGTACTTTGGGGCACGCAATACAGTCCGTAAGAGCCTGCTTCTAAATGAAATTATTGCTAAAATCTTAGTGATTTTTGCTTCTTGTTTTTACAGCATAAACCCAGAATAAATGGAAACATCACTGGAGATTTCATTTATGTCATGGACAAGTTAATTCCAAACACAAACTACTGTGTATCTATCTATTTTGAACCAAAAAATCTGGGAACAATAACAAAATCCCCCCTAAAATGTGCCCTCCTTCCTGGCCAGGAACCAGGTATGTTTGTTTTTGAAAATTCGTGTTTTGCTTTCATTCTGAGGGGAAACCTAGGTAAAGAAAAGAACCTAAAAGTCAGGGACCACTAAAGGTATGTCTCCCAGTAACGGCACATCACAGGTGTCTTCTGCTGGCTAGTCTCTGAATACATGGTGGAGTCACCTAAGCGGCTGTTGTCATAACTTAGGGACAATCAGATATCTACCTTTATTTTATTTCAGGGAGTTGGGATTAAGTTCCGTGCTGTGTGTCCTCCAAAAAAAAACCAAACCCGTTGCTGTCGAGTGGATTCTGATTCACAGCTACCCTCTGTGTTACAGGGTAGAACTGTGCTCCACAGGGTTTTCTTGCCTGTAATCTTAACAGAAGCAGATCGCCAGGCGTTTCTTCCACAGCACCACTGGGTAGGCTCGAACCACCAATCTTTCAGTTAGTAGTCAAGCACAAACCAGGAACCTTGTATGTTCTTAGCTCAAGCCAATGCTTGAAGATGTAGGTCGCCCTGTGTGCAACAGCATCAGAGGGTGAAGTATTGGATACGATCCAGTTGGGGTGTGGTTCATAGATGTGGCCTTTCAGAGATGAAGGGAATCTTGCCAGTGTGGACAAGTACATCACTGGTGAAAGCTGAAAGCCCTTCTGTTTCAGAGGCTTCTGAGCGGTCAACAGCGTGATCCCGAACTTCCTGCCAAATGGAGAAATCGCAGTGAGAACAACTGGCTTCGTTAGGGATATTCACTGCTGACGAAGTTTCTCCGGAAGTGACTAGGTCTCCAGCTGTCTCACCAAAAGTGAGCATCTGTGAAACTGTCCCCCACAGAAGCCTTCTGAATTTCCCAACCCCGAGTTTCTTTGACGTTCTGATTTACCAGAGTAAAAATAAGGTGAAATTTATAAGGAAATGACTTACAGGTGGTATGGCTTATTTGTGGCTTGAATGAGATACGTGAAGCAGTACCTAGCACATAATGGGGAACCCGTGGGTGGTGCAAAGGATTAACACGTTCCGCTGTAACCTGTCGGCATCCACCCAGAGGTACCTCAGAAGAATGGCCCAGTGATCTACTACTTTGTTGTTGTTGTTGAAAATATACATAGCAAAACATACACCAATTAAACAATTTCTACATGTACAATTCAGTGACATCGGTTACATTTTTCAAGTTGTGCAACCATTCTCACCCTCCTTTTCTGACTTGTTCCTCCCCCATTAACATAAATTCACTGCCCCCTAAGCTTCCTATCTAACCTTTCAAATTGCTGTTGTCAATTTGATCTCACATAGATAGTTATTTAAAAGAGCACAATGCTTAAGGCAGATACTGTTTACTAATTAAGCTAAACTGTTGTTTGGTTTAAAGAAGACTTCAGGTGATATCTTTGGTTTAAGGTTAAAGATTATCTTAGGGCAATAGTTTCAGGGTTCATCCAGCTTCAGTGTTCAGTGGCTCCAGAAAGTCTGGAGTCCATGAGAATTTGAAATTCCATTCCACATTTTCCCCCTTTTGATCAAAACATTCAGTAATGGTAGCCAGGCACATCTAGTTCTGGTCTCATGGGAAAGGAGGCAGTTGTTGGTGATTTACTTCTGAAACATCAGCCATTGAAAACCCTATGGAGCACAGTCCTACTCTGATACACATGGGGTCGCCATGAGTCAGAATCAACTCGATGGCAGCTGATTAGTACATAAAGGTGCTCAATGTTCCCAGTAACTACAGGATAGTGTGATTTTATTCCCCAGTGTTCCTCAAAGTCAAATGAGGAACAAACTGATTTTCAGAGAAAAAGTATCTTAAACCACCAGCTTAAATTATTCTTATAATGCCAATTAAATCTGGGCAAACATAAAACAGAATATAGACAGACTCCTTATGCAGGTAAACTAAACCCAACCAGTTGTCAAGTCGACTCCAACGCTTGGCTACCTCATGTGTGTCAGAGAAGAACTGTGCTCCAGAGGGCTTCACTGGCTGATTTTTCAGAAGATCACCAGGCCTTTCTTCCAAGGCACTTGAACCTCCAACCTTTCAGGTAGCAGCTGACCACATTAATTGTTTGTACCACCAAGGGATCCTTATGCCTATAAAAACCAAAAAAAAACCGACTGCTGTTGAGTCAATTCCGACTCACAGCGACCCTACAGGACAGAGTAAAACTGCCCCATAGGGTTTCCAAGGAGTGGCTGGTAGATTCAAACTGCTGACCTTTTGGTTAGCAGCCAAGCTCTTAACCACTGTGCCACCAGGGCTCCCCTCATGCCTATAGCTCTTATAAAGTAAGCCCAAACAAATGTACATACTATATACAAACAAAACTGCAAAACCAATAAAAATCAAATTAGTAATAGATGGGCAGGCCCCGGGTTACGAACCTCTGATTTATGGACAACTCATGCTTGCCTTTAATGTTATATAAGTGGGCCATCCCTTTGAGACAATTGAACCAACCCCTAAACCAACTTCTACTCGCAACAAATTCTTCATCACAGTCACCTTCACTTGCTGCACGTGCAGCTTTTAAATCATTAAAAAGGCTTTGAGCCTTTTGTTGCACTGAAATAAGGCTAAATAAAAACCGTACGTACCTGTTTTGACTTACCTACAAATTCAACTTAAAGGCATTCTGGGAAACAGTACGGTGCTTCCTTAGAAAGCTAGAAATAGAAATACCATGTGATCCAGCAATCCCACTCCTAGGAATATATCCTAGAGAAATAAGAGCCATCACACAACCAGACATATGCACACCCATGTTCATTGCAGCATTGTTCACAACAGCAAAAAGATGGAAACAGCCTAGGGGCCCATCAACAGATGAATGGATAAGCAAACTATGGTACATACACACACAACGGAGTATTATACAATGATAAAGAACAACGATGAATCTGCAAAGCATCTCACAACATGGATGAATCTGGAGGACATTACGCTGAGTGAAATAAGTTAGTCACAAGAGGACAAATATTGTATGAGACCACTACTATTAAAAACTCCTGAAAAGGTTTACACACAAAAAGAAACAATCTTTGATGGTTACGAGGGGGTGGGGTGGCGACGGAAAAACACTAAATAGACAATAGATAAGTGGTAACTTTGGTGAAGGGTAAGACAGTGCACAATCCTGGGGAAGCCAGCACAAAAAAAAAGAGTTAAAGGCAGAGTTAGAAATGGATCTCATCCTAACCCGGGGACTACCTTATGACGAGACAGATGATGGTTTGCTGACACTCAGTCCCTATTTACAAGGTGACTGTGTTGCTGACTGCAAAGCCTCGGATTCTTTGGAGGTAACACGCTCTGCTCATCTCTTCTCCCTGCTGTTCTCTGTTGCACCTACTAAGAAATGTTCACGCAGCAGCGTGTTGTGACGTCATCACCTCTCCTTGGTGTGAACACATCATTTTGGGTGTTAAGTCAGTCCCTACTCTTTTGTCATTTCCCAAGACAGGTAAAGGAGTCCTTGGATGGCAAAAATGGTTAAGTCTTTGGCTACTAACCAGAAGGTTGGCAGTTCGACCCCAGCCAGAGGCACCCTTAAGAGAAAGGCCTGGCAAGCTACTTCTGAAAGGTCACAGCCGTGAAAATCCTACGGAGCATAGTTCTACTCTGCACACATGGGGTCACCATCAGTCAGGGTCGACTTGATGGCAACTGGTCTCTGAGTGTGCAAATGGTTAATGAGCTTGGCTGCTAACAGAAAGGTTGGAGGTTCAAGTCCACCCAGAGGCACCAAGAAAGAAGGGCCTGGCACTCTACTTACAAAAAATCAGCCATTGGAAACTCTCTGGAACACAGTTCTGCTCTGCAACATATGGGGTCATCATGAGTCAGAATCCACACGATGGCGACTCGTTTGGTTTGGTACTAGTTTTTAGTTACATAACTATCGATTTCTTCTCAAACCACGCAGACATAAGGGGAAAAGGGTTGAACTTTTCCAAAGGAATTTTGACCAAGAAACTAAGGGGGACTTGTAACAGAACAAGGAGGTGCTGCAGAGTCCTGATTTGGGTCCTGGCTTGGCCGAAGTCCATCCACAGAAATGACCCAGCTGCTTTTTTTCAGGCAGATTTTCCCTTTTTCTGCTTCTTCCTGCCAGCAGTGCATACCAACATGTAGCTATTAAGTGTTTGAAATGTGGCTAGTATAACTGAGGAGCTGAGGCTTACATTTTATTTAATATTGATAAATTTCAAATTAAATAGCCACACGTGGCTAGTGGCTGGCTACCATATTGGACAGCGCAGTAGTAGCTTGTAATTATACACTGAGATGAATTTTATACTTTTAAAAACAAAATTTGTTATTTTATCACTTAAAAAATATGTATGTATATATATATACATATATATATACATACACACACTTGGATTAGGAGCCCTGGTAGTGCAGAGGTTAAGAGCTTGGCTGCTAACCAAAAAGTTGGCAGTTCGAATCCAGCAGCTGCTCCTTGGAAACCCTATGGGGCAGCTCTACTCTGTCCTCTAGGGTCGCTATCAGTCAGAATCGACTGGACAGCAATGAGTATATACTTGGATTGCTTTCCATTCTTCTGTATTAACAACACAAAACTGGTTTTTCAAGCTTTTGCTTCCTTGTTCTTACCTTCCACCACCAGACCGATGTGCATGTATTCCCCTCTATGACTGTTTATTGGATTTATTTTGAAATAAAGTTATATAATTTTTCATCAACAGAGTCATCAGAATCTGCCAAAATAGGAGGAATAATCACTGCGTTTTTAATAGCAACTGTCTTCATAAGCAGCGTAGTAACACTGAAACGGACTGGTTATCTATGCCTAAGACTTGATCTCCCCAGTGCTTTGGTATGTAGTTTGTCTGGGTTTGTTTGTTATTTTTTAATTTCTGTCTTTATTTTTTATTTTAACTTAAATATTTTCACAGAAGAAAATCTCATTTTCTGAAAACACCACAGTTATATATCAACCCGGGTTCTTTTCCATCTCTATAAACATATTTTGCCATTGTATGTGTATGTATGCATTTTGTTTTCTTTTTACACTTTGTCTACATATTGTTTTTAATGATCACAGTGTTCATCCTTACTAATGTATCATTTTTCCCTCAACCATTTCTCAGCTGTAAGGCGCTTGGATTGATTTCTTTTTCTTTTCCTTTCTTTCCTTTCTGTCTGTGGCCATTATGAGTAGTACAATGAACATGTTTATACAGATTATCCTTTTATTTTGGACTGCTTCAGTAGAGCACGTACACAGAGTGGATTTATCTTATAAAAAGACATGATAAAATACATCCCGTATATAATGTCATTAGTGACGTCTAACTGTACACATTTCTCCAAAGCGCTGCCGACACCAGGATCGAGCCTTTTTCCTACTTTTGTTCATGTATGCCGTGTTTAACAGCCCCATGTAGTCGCACCCATTTGTGTTAATTTGTTGTCATTGGGTGCTGTCAAGTCGCTTTGGACTCATATAGAGACCCCGTGCATTACAGAGTAGAGCTGCCCCATAGGGTTTTCTTGGCTTTAATCTTTACAGAAGCAGATCGCCAGGTCTTTCTCCTGCGGAGCTGCTGAGTGGGTCTGAAACACCAACCTTTTGATTAGCACCCAAGCACTTAACTGTTCCACCACCAGGGCTCCTTTGTGTTAATTTAACTACAGCTTGCTCCGCGTAACGTCCATTCGGGCAACGTCTGACCACATATACCTCTGTGGTCCCATAAGGCTATAATAAAATAAAATAAAATCAAAAACCCGTTGCCATTGAGTCGATTCTGACCCATAGCGACCCTGTTGGTCAGAGTAGAACTGCCCCATAGGGTTTCCAAGGAGCACCTGGTGGATTCAAACTGCCGACCTTTTGGTTAGCGGCCATAGCTCTTAACCACTATGCCCCCAGATTTTCCAGGGCTATAATAGAATTGAGAAGTCCCGATCAGAGAACAGGTCATAGCAGATGTATCTACCATCAGTCAAATGTTTGTCATAGTATATAGTATATAGTGTACCTTTCTATGCATAAAAACATTAAAGAAACATTTCCAGCTACACTAAAACATCTCCAACATAATACTACAGTAATAATAATGTTCCCATGCGTGTCGCAATTTGCGCCTGTTGATTATTACGAACCATCGCGTATACCTTGAATTTTTAATATAACAGCCTTGACGGGTTGGTTCGTAACTATGGGTTTTACTAAGTTGGGCGTTCACAACCCGGGGACTGCCTGTATATAATATGGTGACCACACAACGTCCAAATCACGTAATGTCCTATCTCACAGAACATATCATGGACGTTAAACAATGCATGACTGTGCTAGTAAAACCAGACACTTTCCTTGTCTTCATTTCCTCTTCCTAAGGCACATGCTTTCTGTTTCGAGCCTTTGACCCCTCAGCCAAGTCTGGGTATTGATCTTAAACCACAACCTTTGCCGTCAAGTCAGTTTGGACTCCTGGCGACCCCATGTGTTACAGAGTAGAACGGCTCCATAGGGTGTTCTTGGCTATCATCTTTATGAAAGCAGATCACCAGGCCCTTCTTCCATGGTGCCATTGGGTGGGTTTGAACTGCCAACCTTTTGCTTAGTAGTCGAGCACAAACTGTTTGCATCACCCAGGGACTCCTGGGTATTGATCTTACATATTCCTAAAACCTCTTTATGCCTTTTAAATCAGCTGTTTTTAACCCATCATTTATTATTTTCTCTACCCTATTGCATTCTTTTCATATTAGTTTTATAAATTTTCCATTCAGAAGTATCTTATTTTTCTATGTTTGAACTAACTCACCGGATTCTGTTATCTACTGGTTTTTCAACACCCATTTATTTAAATCTCCTTTCAACCATTCATAAAATTGTACTCTTCTTTTCTTGTTTTTTTTTTTTTTTGTGTGTGTGTGTGTGGATTGCTTGGGGAGGAGTGGTTGACAGAGAAGGGAGTCTCTATTTTGGGAGATTTTAATTACATTTAATATTTGAATCTAGCTGGCATTTGGGTGTGCTTCATGAGGTGTGGATGGCTCTGTGTTGGGTTTCGTCCTCAAAGTGATCCCTGTCTTGGAAAATGGATGTTTTTATCCATCAGCGTAGCACAGCTACCCCTCAAGTGTTCGAGTCGTAGCTTTACTTCCAGCCTACATTCCAACTCCTCCTGGCATGCATTGCTTTGGCCATGAGATCACAGATAAATCCTACTCCAATTCATTTCTCACTACAGCCTTGAGATCTAAAGGTCTTCAGCATGGCCCCCAGCACTCTTAACAGCCACATCTTCCCCACTCCCAGGTATTCTCCCAGGTCTCCCTGGGGTTCCTTCCTCTTCGAGTTGGGTCTATATTATACGCCAGTGGCAATTATTCCTGTTTTGTCTAAGCCCATGTAATAAGAGGAGGTGTTTTTATCTTGTGTCTGTTTTTAGCAGAGGATGCTCCTGGCATTTCTCCATTAAAAGTCATTGTTCTATAGTAAAAAAAAAAAAAACTCTAAGAATATTAAAACAGAATACTTTAGACCTATTGTGTTTGTGTATGTGTGAATAATAGCTGTTGAAAATTTTAAATGGCATCCTTTTTTGTTTTGTTTTTGTTTTCTTGCATTTCACAAGTATTTATTGAGCATCTACAATGTGCTAACATGTTCTAGAGACTGGGGATGCAGAAGTGAAGACAACAAAAAGTCCTGCTCTCAAAGTCCGAGGGGGAGGAGGAATGACGATTATTTATAGATAATACGATTGTCTAAGTAAAATACTCAAATGAATCTACAGATAAAACATTAGGATGAAAAAGAACGCTAAGCAAAGGTGTTAGATACAAAATCAATATGCATTTTTACATACAGTAGTTGCAACATTCAGTTAGAAAAGAAACATAAAGTTGCTTTTCACCATCCAAAAAATAAAATACACAAATCACGGGTATACAGTTCCATGAATTTTACAAACTGAACACATCCGTGTAACTCATGCCCGGCTGAAGAAAGAGAACGTGACCAACAACCCAGAAGCCCCTCTCTGCCCCCTTCCAGTCACTACCCTCTATGAAGGGCAAATACTATCGTGAACTCTAACAATGTAGATTAGTTTCACCTGGTTTTTAATCTTATATAAATGGAATCATACAGTTTAAAAAAATACGGTTACAGTAACAACAAAAAATATTCTCAAAACATCTGAGGAATAAATCTAACAGAAGATGTACAAGCCCTTTGTGAAAAGCATTAACAAAGACCTAATCAAATGGGAAGGAGCCCTGGTGGCACAGGGGTTAAGCACTCGTCTGCTAACCATAAGGTCTGTGGTTTGAACCCACCAGCTGCTCAGTAGGAGAAAGATGTGGCAGTCTGCTTCTGTAAAGGTTTATAGTCTTGGAAACCCTGTATGGCACTTCTGCTCTGTCCTGTTGGGTTACTGTGAGTCAGAATCAACTCGACAGCAACCAGTAATCGAATGGGAAGCCCAAAAATAGACCATACATACAAAAACTTGATTTATGGGAAAGTGGATATTGCAGATCGGTGAGGGGAGGAAGGGCTAGTCAATAAATGTTATTTATATGGGGGGAGATGAAATCGGATGAAATTTCATTTCATGAAATTCCTACCTCACAACATGCACAAAAATCAGTCCCAGGTAAATTAAAGACTAATGTAAAAGGCAAAACTATAAAAGTTGTAGAAGGCAATATAGGAGATTCTGTATGACTTTGGGGCAAAGAAAATTTTCTTCAAATGCAAAAACCATAAAGTAAAAAAAAATTGAAAAATTCTCTTACATTAAAATTAAGAATTTCTTTCCATCAGATGTCATAAAGAGAGTAAAATGATAAACCACAAACTGAGAGGAAAATATATGTAACAAAATAATTCACCAGCAATTGGTGTCCAGATCTCATTAAAAATTACTATGAATCAATAAGAAAATGACGAGTAACCCAATAGAAACACCTGTTGACATAACTGAGATTTACTTTTTCTCATCTTCATTGCATATATTAGCCTTGCATTTTTTCAAAGTAAATAAATCCTCCTATTCCTAGTAAATAATTGTTTTGTTATGTTATTTTCTTGTTTCTACAATCTTATTTATGACTTTTACATTTATGCTAATAAATGAGATTGGCCTAATTTTTTTTTCTGATGTAATCTTATCTCCTTAAATAATTGGCCAGTCTGTCCCTTCAGTCTGCATTTTGACATAATATAATTTAGAGATTATTTTGTTGTTAGAAGGCTTGATAATGTTCTCCAGTTAATCCATCAAGGCCAAGTGCCTTTTTGGAAGTCATTCTTTGGAAACGTTTATGATTTCTTCCTCTGTTAATTGCCTACTAAAGTTCTCTATTTCTTAGTGTGTCCTTATATTTTGGAATTTTTTAAGTACTCATCCATTTGATTTGATTATCAAATTTATTAACCTACATTACCAAATCCTTCTCATTTGCCAGCTTCTCCTTTATAATTTCTGATTTTATCAGTTTGTGTTTTATTTAATCTTTTCGTGGATTAACCCAAAATTTATCTGTTTTATTAATCTCTTTTATACCTATTTGCTTGACTATTCTCATTATTTTGTAGTTTGCTAGTGCATCTGCTTTGTCTTTTCTGCCTTTATTCACTTTCCAATTACTGCATTCCTCTTCTTGATATTTTAAGTTCAAGCTTAATATATAGTTTCTTTTTCTTTTTTTATTAGTAACATAGACTTTTAGAACAATAAACTTAAAATCCTAATTCTAACTCTTTCTTAATTCCATCATTCAACCTAGTAGCATGGCTTACTTTCTTTGTCTCTTTGGAAATGCTGAGCTTGTTCAGTTGTGTCCAAAGCTTGTTTGCAAAGTACTTTTTGATCTTCAAATTCTTAAGGCCCCATAACCCCAAAGAACCCAAGTCCCCTCTCCTAATGCACTTCTCTCTCCCTCTCTAAACAGGTAGGATTTCAGTGCTGTTGAGGAAAGTTTAAGCGGATGTGGGTATCTTTCCTCTGCCTGTGGGCATTCTCCCCAAGGCTGGGTCTCGGTGGAGCAGGGGAAGAGCAGGTGAGGAGCAGGTTCATCAGAGTGAGGCCGGTGCAGGCCCAGGACAGTAAAGAGGAGGACGATGCGGACGGTGATTCCAGGTCTTGGAAAGGAATCTCGTGCCCACCCTACTTACCCTTCACCCCGTTGTGGTCAGTTTTGGTGAGGAAGGATCCCCCAACTGGGTGAAACTCAGCTTGCCTCATTTTATCTTTACTCACTCTACCTTCTGTGTCCTGGGGGCGTTTTCTTCCAAGGGCCCTCTCGGCCCTCAGCCTTTACCTTTCAGGGATCGTCAGCATGTAAATTCCTCCAGACCAAGGGACCCACATTCCCCTGCCTTTAACCCTGACGGAGTGGGCTTTCTAGAGTTCATCCACAGCCCTTTGACACCCCTTAAGAATGTCTTGGCAATGCACAATTGGACAAACTCTCAGCTTAAATGGAGAGATGTCCCTGCCCTGCAAGCAGACAGGTGAGAGGAGGGAGGGAGGGAAGAGTGGTCAAGAGCACCGGCCCTGCAGGCCACCTGCCTGGTTATAAATCCAGCTCTGCCACTTAGTGTTCACGGACCTCGCACAAGCTTCTAACCTCTCCATGCCTTATCTTCTCATCTTTAAAGTGGGAATAAGAAGAATAAACCTACTTCGTGGAGTGCCTTTGAGGGTAGAACGTATCACAGTATCTGTAGAGCACCAAGAGCAGTACCAGGCAGTAGTGAGCACTGTCTACTGTTAGGAATCTCTGGGTGGTACAGACAGTTACGTGTGTGACTCCTAGCCAGAAGGTTGGTGGTTCGAACCCACTCAGAGGCATCTTGGGAGAAAGGCCCGGGAGTCTGCTTTCACAAGGTCTCAGCCTTGAAAACCCTGTGGAGCACAGCTCCACTCTGCAACACATGGGGTTGACATGAGTCAGAATCGACTCAACAGCATCTGGTTTGGTTTTGGTTTTATCTGCGGTCATGGCTGTTGTCGGGGGACGTTGAGGCGGCTCTGACTCGCGGCAACCCCACGTACAACAAAACGAAACACTGCTCTGTGCTGTGCCATCCTCACAGTAGTAGGTATGTTTGAGCCCATTGTTGCAGCCACTCTGTCATCCCATCTCGTTGAGGGTCTTCCTTTTTTTTGCTGACCCTCTACTTTACCGAGCATGATGTCCTTCTCCAGGGACTGGTCCCTCCTGATACCACGTCCAAGGTATGTGAGATGAAGTCTCACCATCGTCGCTTCTAAGGAGCACTCTGGCCGTACTTCTTCCAAGACAGATTTGTCCGTTCGTCTGGCAGTCCCTGGTCTATTCAGTATTGTTCGCCAACACCACAGTTCACTTCTTCAGTCGTCCTTTTTCGTTGTCTACTGTTAGCTGCTGCTGTTGGAGTCAGCATCATCACCATCCTCATCGGCATGCAGCTACTCTCATTAACTTTTATTATATAAAAAATAAAGAGCCCAACCTCAGAATTAAAACCTTTTTTTTTTTTAAGAATTTTTCTAACAGGCCAACCCGGATTTTTCTGGAGCTGCCACCACTGGAAGCCGTGGATACAGTGGAGGTCATTTACGTCAGCCGAAAGAAGAAAGTGTGGGACTACAATTATGACGAGAGTGACAGCGAGGAAGAAGCCACCCCGACAACAAGTGCTGGCGGTTACACCAGGCATGGACTAATCCTCCAGCCCCTGACGCAGGCCTCCACCTCCTCGCCCGACTCTGAGGAGTCACAGTTCACAGACCCAGATGTGGATGAACCTGACCTGCCAGAAGACGAGGCCGAGCCCCTACTGGTGCCAGGGCCCAGGGCCGAGCAGTCGGAACCCGCAAGTGGACCCTGTGAAAGGAGAGCGAGTCCGCTGCAGGACCCCTTTTCCAAGAAGGACAGCAGCGCCACCGAGGGGTCTGAGGACAGGATAATCTTCAATGTGAATTTAAACTCTGTGTTTGTGCAGGCCCTCGATGATGATGGAGACGTCTCTCCAATGCTTCCAGAAGAGACAGTTGACCTAGAGGACCCCAGTGAGATGGAATCAAGCTTTCTGATCGCCAGGGAGGACGGGATGCCACCGCCCTTCCCCAGCCCCTCGGAGGAGTGCCTAGGGTCTGAAGATGCTTCTTCGGAGGAAAGCGACACTTCTGAGTCGGATGCTGACATCAGGGACGGTTATATAATGAGATGATTCTAAAACTGTTTAACTGGAACTGACAAGTAGCTGTCACAGCGCTCTCCGTTCTTGCCCGCCTCCTCGCCCATTTGTGGCCTCGAAGTGTTCTCCAAGGGAAGGGGTAGAAAACTGTAGAATCGGGTCAGTTCTTGCCTGTAACATCATCTATGCAGACTCCCAGTGTGGGATACATGGTAGCATTCAGTGCATTGTTTACATGTTCAGAGTGATACACTTGGAACGGAAATTTCCCTACCAATTCCCTTTGCTCTCCTGTACTTACAATGTATCTGTGTGAGGGCTGCCAGGGTAAGGAGCAAGTCTCCCTGTGCTTTGCAGGGTGGGCCAGGGCCATGTGCTATTTCCAGGAAGTAGTTAAATGGGGCAAGGGTGGGAGCCAGGAGAAAAAAGGAAAAATCCAGCAGGTTTCACACGGCAGGAGCGGCCAGCAGTGCTTAGTAAGTGGAGTCCCCCCCAGCTGTGTGTCCCAGCAGGCTCCAGGGGAGTGCAGCAAAGGGGCAGACAAAGAGGTGACGAGGGAGGACCTCCGGAGAGCCGAGGAGGCGACACGTGAGGGAACAGGCACAGGCACGTGGCGGGGGCAGGGCGGTCCAGCGGCGGGGGCAGGGCGGTCCAGCGGTGATTGGTTCTGTGACTAATCTTTGGGCTGCCCCCAATGTCTTCTGCCTCCTCCACTCTGGGATTTGGGCTCAGACCCCTGTTCCCGCCCTCCTGAAGTCGAGTGGGGAAGCCAGACACACACATACACAAGTAACTCTACTGCTAGGCAGGTGGCACACGGGAAGCATCCAGATAGGGGAGAGGAATGGAACCTCAGCGCCCTATTTTAAGACTAAAATAGAGTCATGGACCACGACAACCACAGCCCCCACCAGACTGAGTCCAGCACAACTAGATGGTGCCCGGCTACCACCACTGACTGCTCTGACAGGGATCACAACCGACGGTCCTCCACAGAGCTGGAGAAAAATGTAGAACAGAATTCTAACTCACAAAAAAGACCAGACTTACTGGTCAGAGACTGGAGAAACCCCCAGAGTATGGCCCCCAGACACCCTTTTAGCTCAGTAATGAAGTCACTCCTGAGGTTCACCCTTCAGCCACAGATTAGACAGGCCCATAAAACAAAGCGAGACTAATGGAGTATACCAGCCCAAGGGCAAGGACTAGAAGGCAGGAGGGGACAGGAAAGCTGGTAATAGGGAACCCAATGTCAAGAAGGGTCAGTGTTGACATGTCATGGGGTTGACCTTCATCTAAAGCACAATAAAAAGAGAGTAAATGTAAAAGTGCTTCTAGGTCTTCAGAAGAAATACGCCATAAAAGCCCTAGAGATCCTCTTCAAATGATTTAGGAAGTGCTGTGTGTGCCCACTCCAGATGTCCTACATGTAATGACAGTTCCCATGAATCTGAAAAAGCAAAAATGTGAAGTTCTAGAATGCCATGTAGCAAACAGTACACAGACTGGGACGCAGGTGCTACTCTGTCCCCCATTTCACTGTGTGACCCTGGGCACTTCGCCTAGCCTCTCTGAGCCTTGGTTTCTTCTTTTATGAAACTGAGGAGACTGGACTAGGTAATCTCCAAGCTCCTATGCTTCTAGGAGAAATAATAAAAAGTATACAGGTGGAGGTAGTGCAAACCTGACAGGTTCTCCTTCCCTTCACCCCAAGAGCAGCTTTCTCAGACCTTGTCCTGGGCCTATTCAAGAGCAAAAAAAAAACAAATTCTACATGTCCTAATTCAAGGGCTTGGAATTGATTATTTTTACAGTTGCTCTAAAGTAACTCAAAGGAGAGGGCTGTGAGAAGGGGAGCCCTTATTTAACAATAATGAAATTCTGTGGGAAATGGATCTTAACATATGCACAGTCCATTTCTCTGCCCCCGGCTCTGTCTGTCATGTTTTGAAAGATTTCCAGATTGATCTTTTGGGATAACCTCTTTATTGCTGCTTTCATGTATACCTGTGTGGGTGTATATATATGTGTGTATATGTATATATATATTTTTTTTTAATTTTGTATAATGGTTGGAGGTTGGTAAAGGGTAATACAAAAATACTTTTAATACACTCCTGGTGATGGTCTTCAGAGTTGTTTCTCAGAGTGTATATATGCAGATTTGTGGTTCTGCTGGCATCTCTGGCGTTCCCAGCTCCCAGTAACTCTGCCCTCCCATGGTAGCCTGCAAGAGCCTAGGGAACATTCTGCCACCCTCTGCTCACATAGCGTGTTCAGACGTTGGTGACGGGCCACCCTATGTTACCCTGCTCTGGGTTTTCCAACCTCACCACTGCACAAGTTGAGAAAGGAAATTAAAATGTTTTCAGCGTACTGAAGGGAGTCACTGCCAAATAAAGGACTTAGTTTTTTGTTGTTGTTTATGGAGTAGGGGGAGACTAAAGATTGTTGGCTATGATCTTTATGGAGAAGGTCCCCGGGTGGCATACACCCAACCGCTAACCTAAAGGTTGGTGGTTTGAATCTACCCAGCAGTACTGCAGAAGAAAAGGCCTGGCAATCTGCTGCTGTTAAGATTACAGCCAAGAAAACCCTATGGAGCACCAGTCTACTCTGACAAACATGGGGTCACCGTGAGTTGGAATCGACTCGATGGCAACTAGCGTGTGGGTTTGGTTTTTTTCACTTCATGTAACCTATCAGTAAGGCCCTTCTCTGGGGCCAGCTGTCTAACATTCTGAGCAGGTGCTGAGCTTTTGGTTTTTCAGGAGGAAAACCTTTTTAAAAAAGGCCAAATGTTTCTTAGAAGAGTGAAAATGGAATTCTCAGTTTACTTCAGAATGGATTTTTTTTAATTTTAGTTCTGAAGCTACCTAATTCAGATATGCCAGTAACTCCGATTCTAAAATTTGTATTCACAGACCTATGGGCTCTTTAGTGGAGTGCTTTTAAATCATTTTATATGCGGGGGGGCGGGGTATGGAAGCCAGGCGGTTCACTGGAGAAAACTTGGGGAATACTGAATGGTTTAAAGAAAAGCCACCCCCACCCATAATTTGACCACTCAGATACAGCCCCTGGGTTGGTGTTTTCGGATTTATTTACTGTGCACAGGGGCGGATTAACCAGCGAACACGCCATGCGCAGGGGCTTACAGTGAGCAAGGTATGCGCCGGCTTAGTTGTGTTTATTTACTAACCTGTAGTGACCAAGTTCACACGGGTGATATCGTGCGCTACAGGTTAGTAGATCAACACAATTCAGCCTGTGTGTTCCGTGCTTATGCTGTAGGGTAAAAACATCACAAAGTTTAGTAAAGCAAAAAGAAAGTTTTATTCCGCCTGTAATCAAAAAGGCAAAAGTGGGGAACAGACAATCATGCTGCCAGAACCATGTCTGCCCAAGTCCAGAGAACATTACAGAATAAGCAAAAGTGGGAAAATGGACAAGCATGCTGCTAGAGCCATGTCTGCCCTGCCGGTACAGAGCCATCGGTATAAACATTACAAATGGACAAAAACATTGGAAGCTTCACCTTTTCACAGATTGGCTAGAAACTGTGATCCCACATTTTGAACTGCCTTTCTTAACAATCATGGGTACAGGTCTCAGTACAGTCAGGAGACAGTCAGGAGGATCTTCACTGATCCAACAAATTTCTATTCACTAAATGCTAATAGAAAAAGAGTGAAAAGTCTTTCGTGTTCTGTTTGAATGGTTTATGTGAAAGGTTCCCTGAAAGATATTTTCCAAGATTATTTTAGCTGTTGTCTTTATACCTCAGGGCCCAGTTGATGTGTCCTTGTGAGCTCAGCTCCAGCTGGGCCACATTCTGTATGCTCAAGGAGAGGGGAATAATGATTCCAATATTATTTTCTAAATCACTTACTGGGTAATCTGTCCCTGACTCTGCGTTCCTTTCAAAGCACACATTTAATAATTTTCAGGATTTTCCCCCATGTCAAGATACTGTGCATCTGTTTTGCAACCTCCTTTGCATATCAGTGTTTACCACTTACATGCAGGTTAGACAAGATCTCCCTCCTCCCCGGGGTCTTCTCCTGCCAAGCCCGTGACCAGTGGGCCTCTCCAGCTCCGCCCCGGCGAGAGCCAGCGCATGGGCAGAGCCCGGCGGGGGGGC